AGTCGAGGCACAAGGCTGTCAAGACCGTCCACAAACGAATCTTACTCTTCTAGAAGATGCTGAGACCGTTGAAGAACCACAGGTCATAAAACATCTGTCCGACCCTTTTGAAACAACTCAAGACAACGTCACAGGCCAAGGGCTAGACGAAACTCAAGCGGTTTCAGTCGAATCATCCAAAGATTTAAATGTTTTTCGGCAGAGCAAAGCCCTGAAGGTGAGAGCAATACAGATGATCACGACAAGAATAATTTAACCACCGTTCAAGCAAATGAAGATTCCCAGAAAAAGATAGCGGCGAGAACCAACCCTCCAAAGACTTGTGCAAACCACTCGGAAAAGCCTAAGGCCAAACAGAGCTCATGGTCCAAAGGAAAAAGCCCATTGTTAAAATTCTTTATGTCATATGAAAGAATCAACAAAACTGAGGTAAAAGATGCCAAGAAACCAGATGTCAAACCTAGTGGTGGAACACCCCAAGAAAAGACGGAGGATGTAACCGAATCAGGTCTACAAAAGAAGCCACGTGAACATAACAAAAATACAGGAGAAGTAACGGAGAACGTTGGAGAGGAAAAAGACAACAGCCATTTGACTCAAGTCTCAAATTTTAAGCAAGGGTTACAGAAGTCTGTACAGGAGTCAAATACTACCGAGGCCAAAACAATAGAAAGTCAGAAAGATGAAGGTCTTCTCGCAAACTTGCAAAAAACCTCAGCGGGTAATTGTCACGACGATCCAAAAGGAGATCAAGAGTCTATGTTCCCGGGCAAGACTGAAGATAAAGATGTTATTTTTGCCACACCACCAATGCAACCAACACCTGAAAAGCCTATTACTCGCTTAACTGGAGACAGGAGCAAAAAAGTAGATGCAATAAATGATCAAGGTGACAGTGACACCTGCATCGAAATGCCACAAAGAGTGTTTGGTTCTCCAGAAGGAGAAGTAAAGCACTTAGTGCATGAAGAGTTGCTGGATCACGACCACGATAAAATGATTATTGATACTATTAAAAATGATGTCAGGTCAGTAACTGCTAATCCAACAGTTAATAAAATGAAGAGTGAAGGCTGCATCCAAACCAAAGAAGAGATGTTTGATTTGAATACAGGTGAAGGAAATGACAAATATGGTCAAGTTAACGCTGACATTTTAAACGACAATGTTATTTCTGTCTCTGATGACTCTCCGGCCAATCAAATCGATCAAGAGGTCTGCTCGGAAAAACCACTAGACGTGTTTGATTCTCCAGAAGCGCAGGGAATCCTTGAGCACGAATCGTCTGATGCTCTTCTGGTTGATCAAACAAACGGTGAAGTCTGTCCCACGATGCCACCGGACCTGTTGAATACTGAAGAGTCCCATCCCATCCACGGACTTTCTCCTGATTCTTCAGTTCTTTTCGGTCCAATTTTAGACAGTCCTGCAGACATAGTTTCATCCTTTGTGACTGTTCCTGACTCAAAGCCAATCATACAAACTCAGGAGGAATTAACACCAGTTTCGACAGATCAGCAAACAGCACCTCCGACCCAGGATGAAAATCCAACGTCCAAATCCTTCACTGCAATCGCAACTAATGATGTGGACATAGTTGGTCTGGACAATTTTTTCACTCAACCGACCGAAAAAGCATCTGAAGTTAATGATATCGTTCATGCTACACAAGAACCTTTTAAAACTTTTGACAAGAGTCCCGAAGAATCAAACGCTAGGACACAGCA